GATGGGCTGAATTGCACAAAACGCATGATCGCACCGGCTAGTCTGGTGCGCGTTGCCATTTATTCCATTTTGTTTGGATTATTTTAATAAATTTTTAATGTAAAGAAAACCATCTGATTGAATTCTTTTGCGGATTTTTGACACTTTTTAATAAAAATTTTTCTTAAACATTAGTTTTTTTTTAAATATAGCTTTATTTGTACTCCTGGCTTGGCTGAGTCATGAAAAAAAAATTATACTATTTTAATCAGATGTTGTTTCGTTGTCGTTTTCTTTCTCTGCTGTCTACCAGCTCTCCATCCTTCTCTGTTTTGAGCTTCTCTCTTATTCATATAATTCCACATACCCGTTTAAGCGGATCCTTCTATCACGCTACCCTATTTTCGGCCCTTTCAATATTGTTTGGAATATTGAAAAATTGGTTTCAGAATTTAGCGATGCCGTGGTTGAACGATTTTGAACTGTACAGGCATAACAATTCGCATGGGTTGCACAACGACTATAGATACAAGTACGATTTAGAAATAAAGAAAAAACATCATGGTTTCTCTGGCATGGAATTTTTTCAATTTACTCATACGTACTCATACGCCAAACTGAGCAGTGTGCAAATCGAAATATCAAAAAATAAAAAATAAAACAAGAGACAAGTATCAAAAATATCGAACTACTCGGAAAATCGTTCTGGTATTCTGATATCTGGAAAATCGCTCCGGAATTCTGATGCTGGGATGTTAATGTGATACTGTGATAAGCAGCGTGCAGCATCCCAGCAACGCCATAGAATAATGATACTAAGAAAGCCAAGACATCGCGAGCAGTGATTGTGGATATCCCATGTTACTCACATTACAAGGATACCTCTATCATATTGATAAAGGGGATTAAAAAAAAATAATGGAAAATGTACAATAGACATAAAAATGTTTTTTAACTATGCTTTTTAGACGTACCAAAATTTTGAAAATAAGTTTTTTTTCGGGTTTTTGGATAATACTAACTTAGAAAAAGTTGATAGTTACATCTGTACTAGCAAAAAAATTATAATACATTTGATGGAGCAATTCAACTATTTCAGATATGCTCTTCCGTTTGAAAGAGTGGAAAATCCGATTGAGAAAACGCTGTTATTCCAAAGGAATTGGCATCAATCGATCACCGTTTCTGTGGGATACTTCATCCTTATCAAAGTAATCCAGCGGCTCATGGAGCGTCGAGCTGCTTTTAAGCTTCGCTGGCCTTTGTTTCTTTGGAATCTCTCACTTGCACTATTCAGCATCTGTGGTTTCATTCGTTTCAGCGAGGTATTGTTTTCTCTTACTTTTCGCCGGGATATTTGTCGAATTTAGGTAGCTGAAATTTGGATGTGCATTTGCTTGAATATCTTCAGATTTAGAAAAGCAAGGCGAACTTTCATTTTCTCCTGCATGTCGTTCCGTAGAATTGCTATTGGCAGGGAGTGTAAACTTGTCCGAATCGCCATATACCGGGCTTGTAGCAGTGCAAAGTGAGAATGGTCCGGATGGGAAGTTACTAAAATACTGCATGGGTTGGCCCAGCCGGCCGGGCGCGAACATACACTGAAAAGTAATTGATCCGGGCTCGAGCTGAAGAATTGTTATGGTAAAGAATTAAAATGAGGGAGGAAGAGGATGTGACCTTGTGCCAAACAGCTGAAACATGGGTAAAACATTCCAAAATTATTTATCCTCTGCTCTGTTGCGTATTATCGCCCAACGAATACATCGAAAAACTGCTGCGGTAGTAGGTGAAAAGAGTTACTGTGCTGTGAGCCTGAAGCGGTTTACAATCTTGCCAGCTTCCTGCTGTAGCATTTACAGCTTTACAGCACTCCGTCAGCGCTTCTATGATTGCACGTACTTATCACTACAGGATCTAATCTATTCGCTGCTTTACAAAGGTGCTTACCAGTCGTTTTGTTACTCGGTACATCCAAACGATGTTGCTGCCTACTGGGCCTGCCTGTTCTTCTTTTCGAAAATCGTGGAACTCGGTGACACGTTATTTATAGTGCTCAAGAAGAAGCCTCTCATATTCCTTCACTACTATCACCATGCTGCCGTGCTTATCTATGCCGCACATTCCGGTCTGCAATATTACTTCGGATTTCTTTTTTTGCTTTTTTTGAACTTTCTTGAAGAACTCATAGTG